TTATGTTAGAATAACAGTATATATTTTTGACGCAATTATAATAATCAAGAGAATAATGACGAATACAATAAATTTTTATTTTTTTAATTTTTTGTATGATTTTTTTTAAATAATTTTATTATTTTTAATGAAAGAGAAGAATAATAAGAAAAAAAGGAGAAAGAAAAGAAATAATAACGAGAAAAATAAACAATGGAAAAAAATATGAATAAGACGAGGCCTCTCGAATTTTTATCTTTTTCAAGCGATTTTAAAGAATGTTATCGAGGTGCAATAGGTCAAAGATATATTAAAGCAAAATTACATGAATAATTTCTTATAAATTGTTGTTGAGTTTCAATAGAAAAAGAATAATTATATAAATAGTATACATAAAGAATAATTCTCTCTGACTAAAAGAGGGTCAGACGCAGAGTGAGCTATCTTCGTTCTTCATGACTACGTACGTTTGTTCGTTCGTTCGTTCGTTTGAGAGTACGTTCGTTCGTTCGTTCGTTTGAGAGTACGTTCGTTCGTTCGTTCGTTTGAGAGTACGTTCGTTCGTTCGTTCGTTTGAGAGTTCGTTCGTTCGTTCGTTCGTTCGTTCGTTCGTTCGTTCGTTCGTTCGTTCGTTCGTTCGTTCGTTCGTTCGTTCGTTCGTTCGTTCGTTCGTACGTTCGTTCGTACGTTCGTTCGTTCGTTCGCCACAGAAAAAAACAAATTTCCTTGACCTTTATGGAGGTGAATTCTTAAAATAAATCTAACAAGAAACTTTTACAGACTGAGTACGTTTAAGTCTAACAATTGCACGAATCACATGTTTCATGATATAACACATGTTCAGTGAAATTTCAGCCAGTTAGGTGTTTTCTGATTTCTACTTTTGAGAAAGCAGGTTTTTCGAGCATGATTGGCTGCCACTTTAAAAATTCGTTCGTCTAAGTCTTCCATAGTAAGATTAGGTTGTGGAAATGGTCGTATCGGTACCTGCCGGTTCCTTTGTCGGCTAGAGGAACTGTGTGACACATGACGGTGCTCACATCTCTTTATGTAGTTATCGGTACGGAGACTCTGACCTACCCACCCATCTTAGCTGATGTTCGTCACTAATATGCACATTCAAACTTGACATGTAACACACCAAGGATTTTATATGGATCATTCTATGATGAATTCAGCCTTTTACGTCGGTTGTACTTGTACGAGTATGGAATATCAACAGTTCGAACTATTTCTCAGACTAAATCGTTTTCATGTGTTAGTATATACATATGGAAGTGTCCAGTTAGGTAGGATATCCCATTAATATATTTTTGATATTGACTCAATCATATATTAGAAAACTTTGCTTTTTGCATCAGTTATAGTATATACATAATGCTGATCATTTGTTTTTGTTCGGACTCTGTTTCTTGTAAATCAACAGATTAGTTTGCCGAGATTTTTCTTAGAACCTTTTAATAGCAGATGCATCTTTGATAAAACGATGTTGAGAAAGACTTCAACAAATCTGTTTATTTACAAGAGATCGAGTCCGAATAAAAACAAATGATCAGCATTATGTATATACTATAACTGCTACAAAAACCAAAATTTTCGGTTATATAGTTGAGACAATGTCAAAAAAATATTAATAGGGTATCCTATCTAACTGGGCGCTCTCATATATTGCAGTTAAGTTTGGAATCTACTGGAGCTTGGAATCAGTTTATTTAGTTTGTTGGCTTATAGATTTTATTAGGGTGTAGGTGTGATTGTTCTTTCTAAACAAACCGACACCCACACCCCATCATTGATAGATAAGTTGTTACGAGAGATGATCAATATCGATTATTATGAAAAAAAAGGGAAAGAAATTGTTACACGGATAAATATTGCAATTTTTTCCACAAGGAAGATACGTTTTGCGTTATAATTTATCATAAAATATTTTACTATCATAGTTGAAAAAGTTGTTCAATTATGTAAATGGGTTGTGAAACATGAATGATTGATATTGTTTAATATTTTTACGAAGACACCAGTTCTTGTAAACGAATGAAATTCTTTCTTGTTGTTATTATTCTATAGGAAACGGTTTAAGAGGATCCCCTTTCTGAACCCAAAATTTTCAGATTTTTATTTTTTGTGTTCGGTATGTAGATGCGGATGCTCTGTATCTAATGAGCACATTTTAAGAAGGCTAAACCACCTTTTCACATGTTAAAAACTCCAAGAAAAAACTCAGTTTTAAGCTAATAATGTCCAAAGTGCAATTGTCTTCGTATTTTTCTCAAAATTAATTTTTAAACAAAAGAAACCGAAGTTTCGCCCCTTTTCTCCCACACGGTGTATCCGATCGCACTAGAATTTCTTTTATAAGTATTTTGATCAAGTTGGGGTTGCATGTTTTTTTTTCTTAGAAATGTTGTTCCTACGATATTCGGCAGCTGTTATAAAACTAGCACCACTGCAAAAAAAAAGAAGTTTTTACGTAGTATCTCCAGTATTTTCGTTCTTCTAGACTTCAGGAACAGCATTTTTCACAGAAGAAAAAAACAAGCACCTCAAGTTGTTCTTAATTGTCACAGAAAAAATTTCAACCTGAAAAAATGAAGTATGGGTTTTTGCGGGGAGGAGGGCACTTCGTGTCATTTTTAATCCTTGTGATTCTCATGTCTCCTTGAAGGAAGCATCAAGAAATCTTGAGTCTATGACAACTTTTGCTCTACTCATCAAGATTTATCTGCCCTGAAGGTTTCATAATTTTTCGTCAAGCCATTCTCAAGAAGCCCCGGAAAGGGGTAGGGGTCCTCTTAAGTAGAAACCATGTATTTACAACAGATCGATCAACTTCGGTTTCAAAGCTCACATCAAATCAATGAGAGAAATGCTCGAATAGATTAGATCACCAGAACTGTTCAAAGAATTTCTCTTGGTAAAAACTTATGTGTTTCGACAGAACAGAGAATGTTCTCAATGATGCCTTAGATTCAAACTAGAACAGAAATTCTCAAGTGCTAGTTTTTAGTCTTTAAACGATTTGATATTGTTTCAATAGTTCAAATGAATCGTCTTCTGATTCTCTTGCATTAGAAAATCGGTGCAACTGTATTTCAAATAATGGCAAATAAAGAATAGATAATAGAAACGACATTTAATTATATATTTGACAAAATATTTATTTATCTTGATTTAAAAAAACAGAACATGAATAAAATTTATCAAGAACTGATGATTTGTATCATTGTAATAAAAAAAAATGAATTGCATACGTCAATTTTTCGCCTACATAAGAATTATGCTTTCAACGAAAGATATCATTTTACACTTTAATTTATTACAGTAACACATAATAATCATCATTTCTCAAAGACAAAAAAAACTTATTTATTGACATTTCTGGATGGCTTCATCTAATGCATTTTTAATCAATTCTAACGGATATGAGCCTTCAATCGGTTGAGCAATATAACTAATTTTTCTCATATGATCAATAACATAAAATCGAATTGGCCATGCACTATAAACTTCACTAAATGGATTATTTTTTGATACTGGATCGATTAATAATGGAATTCGATAGCCTGTTGCTTTGATAAAATCATTGGCAATACGAATTCGATCATCATCACATTTTGATTGTGCATAACATATTCGACTACCAATTGGCCTATTTTATTCAATATGAAAATCAACTTGACAAGAAATATGCTTCTGATTAACTTACCATTCATCAAGTGCATGAGCTTCTTCAATATCAACAGTGATCATATCAACACGATCTTGATAAAAATCCATTAGTTGATTAAGTTGTAGTACAAGACCACGAAATGGTGGTCAAGTATATGAACTAGCAATAATTAATAAAGGTCGATTTAAATGAAAATAGGATAATAATGAAACAAATTGACTATTCATATTTTATAATTGAATATCAGCTACCAAATCACCAATATGAAGATTTCCTTGTTTTGCACGATTATGTCGAGCATAAAGAAATAAACTATGAAATTCATTATCATTTGCATATAATTGATGAGCACTGCGGAATATTCTAGAACAAAAAAAGAATAAAATATTTAACATAATCATTAAATTTCTGATTTGTAGAAATAGGGTTGTAGAAAAATAAAAGATACTCATTCAAAGTGTTTGAGTGACATTAAAATGTGGTCAATAGAAACAGTTCAAAACGACTGTTTCAAAAGTAATGATTCTTTCAACATTTTTTCGATTTTCTTGAGGGTGTGGGTGTGACCGTTCTTGATCTGAAGACTACCACACCCACACCCACACCCACACCCACACTCACACCCACACCCACACCCACACCCACACCCACACCCACACCCACCCCCACCCCCACACCCACACACACCCCCCCACCCACCCACAC